GGTGCCCCTGGGGAGGGGGTGTCCTGAACAGGGGGTGTCTTGGGCAGGGGGTGCCCTTGAACAGGGGGCGCCCTGGGCAGGGGGTGCCCTGGGCAGGGGGTGCCCCTGGGGAGGGGGTGCCCCTGGGGAGGGGGTGTCCTGGGCAGGAGGTGCCTTTGAACAGGGAGTGCCCTGGGCAGGGGGTGCCCTGGGCAGGGGGTGCCCCTGGGCAGGGGGTGCCCTGGAGAGGGGGTGCCCCTGGGGAGGGGGTGCCCTGGGCAGGGGGTGCCCCTGGGGAGGGGGTGCCCTGGAGAGGGGGTGCCCCTGGGGAGGGGGTGCCCTGGGCAGGGGGTGTCTCTGTGCAGGGGGTGTCTCTGTGCAGGGGGTGCCCTTGAACAGGGGGTGCCCCTGGGCAGGGGGTGCCCTGGGTAGGGGGTGCCCCTGGGGAGGGGGTGTCCTGAACAGGGGGTGCCCCTGGGCAGGGGGTGTCCCGATGGCTCGGGGGGACAGGGGTCCCTGCGGGGGTCTCTGCCCTCACCCCCCTGTCCCGCCCCCAGGGCTCAGCCTGCAGGCGCCGCCCAGGAGCAGGTACCAGGTGAGGGCGGGGCTCGAGCGGAATGGGCGGGGCCTGCTCGGCCAGTGGGCGTGGCCATGGGGTGGGCGTGGCAAATTAATTGACTGGGCGGGGCCTGACCATGCCGTGGGCGTGGCCATGGGGTGGGCGTGGCAAATGAATTGACTGGGCGGGGCCTGACCATGCCGTGGGCGTGGCCATGGGGTGGGCGGGGCAAATGGTTGGACTGGGCGGGTCCTGTCCGGTCAGTGGGCGTGGCCATGGGGTGGCGTGGCAATTGGAGTGGACTGGGAGGGGCGTGTTCAATATGTGGGCGTGGCTATCGGGTGGGCGTGGCCTTCTGGCCTGTGGGCGGGGCTATGGCGTGGGCGGGACAATTGAGTGGAGTGGGCGGGGCCTGTCCAATCTATGGGCGTGTCTATGAGGTGGGAATGGCAGTGGAGGGATGGGCAGTGGGCTGTCCCATCAGTGGGCGGTGCTATGGGGTGGGCGGGGCCTGTCCGCTCTGTGGGCGGGGCTAAGTGGTGGACGAGACCTCTCAAGTCCGTGGGCGGGGCTAAGGGGTGGGCGTGGCCAATCAGGTCTATGGACGTGTATATGGGGTGGGCGTGGCCTGACCGCTCGGTGGGCGGGGCTAAGGGGGTGGGCGGTGCTATGGGGTGGGCGTGGCCTGTCCGCTCAGCGGACGGGGCTAAGGAGTGGGCGTGGCCCATCAGGTCTATGGACTTGTCTATGGAGTGGGCGTGGCCTGTCCCCTCAGTGGGCGGGGCTAAGGGGGTGGGCGGTGCTATGGGGTGGGCGGTGCTATGGGGTGGGCGTGGCCTGTCCGCTCGGTGGGCGGGGCTGAGGGCGGGGCGGGACCGTGGAGCGGCCGGGGCGGGCTGGGCGCTCCCCCTGCCCCCCATGCGCCCCCTGCCCGGTTTTGGGGTCCGGGCCGGGCCCCCCTGACGTGCCGGCCCAGGTGAACCTGACGGCGTCGCTGGGGACGCTGGCGGTGGCGGCCGAGGTGGAGGGCGTGGCGCTGCGGGGGGAGGGCCGGCCGCAGCTCTCCGTGGCCGCCGCGCGGCTGGACCACCTGAACCGGCAGCTGCAGTTCGTCACCTACACCAACACCCACTTCCACCCCGACACCGCCGACATCCGTGCGTACCGGGCGGGGGGCTGACTGCGGCGGCCCCGGCTCCCCCAGACCCCACCCCGCGC